GGAGTGAACTGACTCCTCTGAGGTTGCGGTGCGAGCTGTGATGGGGCAGGCTATGAAGGTGCTTGATGCACCTAAGAGTCAGACTTGTTGAGGAACGCTGGCTTCAGCCGAGCGACGTTGATCTTCTCAGTCTTACCTTTGCAGGCAATGCTAAAGTCTTATCGCTTCTGCGAACGACACGGTAAGGGCCAGAATAAGGAGGTTGGGGTGGCCAGCGTACGTTGTCGGTGCGAAGAAGTGGGTGCCTGCAAGTAATTAAGCTTTCGTCCATGTTGGTACGCAAGCTCTCTGCTCTGGATTGAACAGGCTGAAACTGTCGCATGTGATGAGATAGGTGAGCTGAGTAGTCGCCATCAGTACAACCAAACCCAAGCTAAGAGATGTAACGGGGCTCTGTGGATACTCCGTCCCCGGAAACGAAGGCAGAAAACCCTTCCACCTCATTGCCGAAATCCTTCTCCTGTGCATCTGCTCTTCCTACTAAGGAGGATATGAACTCAAGTGCTGCGCCGGCCACTGCTATGGTGACGCGTGCCGTAAACACCCCTCGTCGTAGTGATGCATTTACGGACAGCAGCGTTATCTTCAGGAATATCTCGGAGTCCTCTGCGACTCTTCCGAAAGATCGCATGTTTGACGACCTTCATTGGTTCAAACTTTGCGTTTCTAAACTACTTCCACCTGGGTTTCCTGGGGTTACTGTTAGAAAACTTACAAGGCTTGGAAACATACCGAGTGATAGTACTAAATGTAGACCCCGTCTACTACGCTTGGTACCATCTACACCGGAGGAGCGACAAGCTCTATTGCGCTTCGCGTTTAAACTAAAGGGTTCCGGAGTGAGTATACAGCCGGACCTACCTTTGGCAGATAGGATAAAGCGTAAGGAATCCATCAAACCCTTAAAGCGCTTCGTGAAGCTGGAAAGAGAGGTTTATGTTTGGTGGGTTTTCGGGTGGTGAGTCGACGGTCCACTTCCGCCCTACCAGAGCCCATTCTGGCAGCACACAACCCGAAGCTCTCCATACCAAACATGTTCACATAGTTCTTAGTAATGTGCGTAGCCCGCGAAACAAGGTGTGCGAAGTAGGGGCCCTAATAGACCAGTCCCATCCTGATGTATTCGCGTTCACTGAAACCTGGTTGTCTTCTGACGTCATTGACAGTGAATTATACGTTCCGAGCTACGCAATACTGAGATCTGACCGCACATCTGATCGCCGTGGCGGTGGTGTCGCTTTGTATATCAGATGTGGCGTAAACATATCCAAAACACATACCTTTAACTCAGCTGATAAAACGGTGGAAGCTCTTTCAGTTGAAGTCTGTACCGAATCAACGCAAGTTAAAATTGTGCTGCCGTATAGGAGCCCTGATAGCGCTTCTAGGAGTTTCATTGACTTCATCCGCACTCACTCTGCGAACAGATGCTTGATAATGGGGGACTTCAACTTCCCTGAAGTAAATTGGAATGACCTATCTCATGAGACAGCGACAACAAGGTTGGCTGCCGAGCTTGTTGATTTGACATTGGAAGTACCCTTCCACCAATTTGTCGATCAACCCACCAGGTACATGGTGGGTCATACTCCTTCTCTGTTGGACCCAGTTTTCGCAAAGACGGTTGACTTTGTGAGTGACCTTGAGTGCGGCCTCCCTTGGGGAACCAGTGACCATACGTGTATGTCATTCACTTGTGCTCTCATTAGAGACTACGATTCACGCAGGGTACCGACTCCGAACATTTGGCACGCCGAATTTCCGTCTATTAGAGCCAAGGCAGTAAGTTTCCCATGCATCATCTTGCCGGATGATAATATACAGACGGCTTGGGATACGTTTAAATATTTCCTCTTAAACATATCTCACCCCCACATCCCTCTTTCGGTAAAGAAGGGTAACAAATCAAAGCCACCATGGTTGGACTCAGTTGCACACCAGCTAATGAATAGACGGGCAAAATGCTGGCGGATCGACCCAACAGTTCTCTCAGAATGTACTTTTCGGCGTTATCGGGAAGCTCGGAATGCTTGCAAGAGACATTTACGAGCTGCTAGACTTAGCTATGAGATGGAGCTGGCTAACTCAGCCTCCGCGAATCCCAAAAATTCTTCACCTCCCGTTAAAAGGCGTAGTAACGTTGGCTTATCTATCCCAGTGTTATTAGACAGCGACGGTGCCACTGCCACCACTGATCACGAAAGAGCGTGTCTACCGAGTGCGCAGTATGACGGAACGTTTGTTCGGGATGAGCAATTGCCGCATCCTGACCTAGCAATGAGAGTCCCCCGGGACTCCTGTTTAACACACGTCTCCGTTTTGGAGGCAGAAGTTCTACACCTTCTTCAGGTTCTAAATCCTGCTAAATCCGCTGGGATGGATGAAATTCACCCTACGCTTCTGTACAAACTCGCAGGCGAGCTACGTGGCCTAGTGACGCATTCGTTTCAATTGTCGCTTCACAGCTGCTCCTTTCCTAAGGACTGGAAGGATGCTATCATTTGCCCGATTTTTAAACAGATCGGCAAGCATCTCTCTGCCAGTTATACACCAGTAAGTTTGACAAGCGTAATGGTCAAGGTATCGGAGAAGTTGGTCAGAGATGTGTTTGAAGACCACCTGCCGGAGTATGATCTGCTCAGTCCACTGCAACACGGCTTTCGCAAGGGTCATTCCTATAGGACTAATTTGCTAGTTGCACGCGAATGTTGGGCGGATGCTTTGGATCGGGGTCATGCAGCAGATGTAGTGTTTATTGACTTCTCCAAGGCGTTCGACACTGTATCACATTCTCGCCTTTCCTTGAAACTTCGGTCCTATGGAATATCCGGGGGTGCACTAAAATGGATCACCATGTTTCTGGAAGGGAGAGAGATGCGTGTTCGTGTGGGGTCTAGTCTGTCTTTCCGACAGTCAGTCCTCAGTGTGGTCCCTCAGGGTTCGGTGCTTGGCCCGTTGTTATTTTCCTTGTATGTCAACGAGCTGCCCGAACTGCTGGAGGTACCATCTCTCATGTTTGCAGATGACCTAAAGTTTTGGCACATGGTGCTGACTTCGATGGACCCCAGACTCTGCAACGGGCCCTCGATAAACTTTGGGACTGGGCTGCTCTGTGGCAGTTGACCATAAATTATGCATAGTGTTCCACCTTACGAATAAGGCCAAATAGTTCACAAACGCGTTATTTGCTTGGCGGTAATGAACTCCACCATGTTACCCATTTGGTAGACCTAGGGGTCACATTGTCTTCAGCACTTAAATCCAGTGAGAACTGGAGCAAAGCTACGTGCAAGGGTTTCAGAAGGTTGTGGATGATCCGCAGGGCATTCGGGACCATCACATGCGCTATGTTTGTTAGGTTATTCTCAGCGTTTGTCGGGCCACACTTGGAATACTGCATCCAGGCTTGTCCACCTTGCTTAGTAAGGGACAGGATGTCAGTGGAGTGAGTGTTGAGAGTTGGAATCAAACTGTTCCATGGACTGCGGAACCATTCTTACCCGGAAAAACTACTTGCGCTGGGAATGTTCTCGATGCACTATCGTCAGCATCGAGGTGACCTATTCTTGACCTATCGTATGCTTACCGGTAAAATCGGACCCGATTAATTCGGGCTTTTCCAACCGGCTCGGCGTCCATCGCTCCGAGGTCACACGCTGAAGCTACACAAACCTCGATCGGATGGAGTCCGGACGGACTTTCGTTTATCACGCCGAGTGGTGGATTCCTGGAATACTCTGCCCTAGAACGTGGTGTTGGTACCAACAGTGAAAGAGTTCGAACGCCGACTCGACGCTCTTGGCCTTCAGTTCTTAACATTCCCCTTCACGTCCTAGCTTATTCGTTTTATTGAATTATTAAATCTAATAGGTTTTTTCTTGACGCTCTTCTTACTTTCGAACTTCTCTTTCTTATTTCACGTGACCGGTGCAGCGGGGACAGCCAGTGCAGGTCGCGTGGGTATCAATTGGTTGAGGGTGGTGTGATTCAAGCGCGCTGATCTGACTCTTCTGGATTCCAGTTATCACGGTCGAATAATACCCTGGATCAACGACGCGTCACGGAAGGAACGTTCACGGGGATTTTTCCTACTGTTCCCGTCCCACTTAAACTTGAACTTGAACTTGTGCCGTTCTTTCGGGGTCTTAATTGACGACATATTTGTGAAGCTGTTCTCAGCTTTCGTCCGGCCCCATCTGGAATACTACGTCCAAGCTTGCCCGCCCTGCCTTGTTCGGGACAAAATTCAGCTTGAGAGGGTTTTGAGAGTAGGTACCAAATTGGTCGAGGGGTTACGGGGGCACTCGTACCCCGAGCGTCTAATTAGCTTGGGTATGTATTCAATACACTACTGACGGCTTCGGGGAGACCTAATCCTTACTTACCGCCGTTTAACAGGGAAGGTTGGACGGGTCTTGAGCCGGCTATTTAGCCCGGCTAGGTTGCCTTGTCTTCGCGGTCATCCCATGAAGCTACACAAGCCGCGTTCTGACCGGATCAAGGCGGAAACTCGGTTATCGCGTAGAGTTATTGAACGCTGGAACTCGCTTCCAGAAAGTGTGGTCAGTGAACCTACGGTTAAGAGTTTCGACCGTCAGTTAGACCCTCTTGGGTGGCAACACGAAACCTTTCCCTTCTCCTGACCATATACATCTTCAAAAGTTTAGTTCTTATTCTATCATTCTCTTCACTCTTTGGTGTTATCCTTCAGTTTAATGACTTTCATGCCCCTTTATCTTCCATTTACTTTCTACTTCTTTCTTACTTCACGTAACCTACACAGCGCGGAGTGCTAGTGCAGGGAACGTGGGCAGTAATTGATTGGCCAGGGTGTGTTTCGGGTGTTTCGTTTTATATCTATCAAGAACTAGCACCTTACCATTTCCTGTCTCAACGATTTGCCCAAGAAGGAACACTCAAGGTATATTCCTATCGCTCTAGTCCAGCTGAATCTGAATCTGACCTTGACCTCTCTACAACCTTATGGACATCTATGAACTGTGAGCACTAACGACTCATGCTGCCACTTTTTGGCGTTACGTTTCCGGAATCTTTGCATTTTTTTATCACCCCATTTGTTGCTGTTTTGGTTGCCCGCGAAGCTATCGATTTTTTATCTGAAGCATTCGAAGTTGTACGCCGAAAATATAATCGTGCCTGACCTTGAGTTAGCTGTGTAGTAGCGCAGGTTGGCCCATGTCTCCTTGCCTTCGAGGTTGCACAAGCACCATGGTGGGTGAATAGTGATCACATAGTGCTTCACATCCTGTATGCTGCATTCTTTCGAGGAGATCCAAGGCAATTATATGTTCTCAACGTGGCCAGTATCTCCCTACAAAGATCCCGAGGCAAGCGGCGTCGCCGTTCGTCTTTCATTTCTCGATGGCTTTGTGCTAAGCGGTCCAATATCCGTCTGCGATGCCGAGTGTCTTGCGAATGATGCAGAAGAGTCACGTCAACGAATTTCTACTACGGTATTCTGCATGAATATTGGAAAGGAGATATGCATATTTACACAAGACTCTGAAGATATCCCCATTGATAGAAGGGTCTTCAAAGCACCTCCCACGTGCCACTCCTTTAAACCTGGTTGTAAAGACGGGTCTCTTCTGATTGGGTTAGGCAGTGGCGAAATACAATTAATTTGCCCATTACGAAAAGATTGTTGCAAAGTATACAACGAAGACGTAAGTGCCATACCATTTTATTTGTTTTAGAAAACTATCGAAAAAACCGGTGTCACGTGCGTTTTGTGGGTTCCCAACTCACCCCACCAGTTCCTTGTCAGCCATTCAAGTGGCTGCCTTTACTTGTACGATGAGAAACTTCTTCCCGTCGCTTCTCCGCCTTCCTATGACTTGTTTAAAGAAGGTGTGGGATTTTCGGTACATACGTGCAAGGCGAAGTCCACTAGAAATCCTATTTACCGCTGGATGTTTGGATTAAATTCCCATTTTTTTGCTGGTCCTTGTCTGGGCTCATTGGATGGTGCGCCTAAGCATACATTTCGTTCCGTAATGACTAACGGGCATTCACACAAAACAGCTACAAATGGTGCTCATTTAGAAATGTTTACTGGCTCCACTAATTCATCACATGCGCAGTCATACGGAGAGGACAGTGCGGCTATTAATCAGTTTGCCTTCTCTCCTTGTGGAGCATATCTTGCTCTTGTGACGCAGGATGGCTATCTGCGCGTTTTGGAGTATCATGAAATGGAGCTGTATGTGAGTCCGCTACTACCGTCCCTTAGATTTCGCATTTAACTTAACCTGCTCATATCTGTTCCACCATAATTGCCCTCTTTGTGAACCGTGACTCCCAAGTGAACTTCCCACTGAAGTGACGCAATTTTTGCATAAAAGCGTTACCATATTAGCAACACAGCTTGGGCATTTGCCTATTTATGGACATTAAACTAATTATATCACCGCGTTGAATCGTCCTCTACATTGTCACCAAACGTCTCTCGAATGCTTTTAGGCAGAACGGGCGGTATAGTCTGTGAGAATAATAATGGACATCTTGAATGTAGCGCAGATGGGAACGATCCATAGCTTGCGCGCTTAGTTGCCATCGCAATGAGGCTGGACCTTACCGTTGTGCGATGGTTTGTGTGCCTCAGCGATCCATTAAACTATCCTGGGTGGTGCTTTTGCACCTTCAGAGTCACTCATACCAGATTGGTCAATGGTTAGAGGCCAGACAAACTCAGCCTCCTGGTCCTCCAGGTTGGAGGTTGGAATGAGGGTAGCATCTTATTCCTTAAAACGGACTCCCTGTAGCCCAACGCCAAACCCGCTGCCTTGCGGTAAGGTTTTTGAACTAAAGGCTTTGGTTGAGAACCCTAATCGTTCTCCTGTCTACGCCTGGGCAACCTGAGTATCCTGCCCACGCAATACAATGAATATTATCTCAAACAAATTGCTGATGCTCTGGCCACCGCAGAGGATAATCAACGGTGCCCTATCTGCTGCATCGAGCAGGGTGGATAGGGGTTTGGATGCTACTGCTCAAGCCTTCCCGTCTTCTTATTCCCCATCTTACGCTTTTTCACTCTTACCGTCCCCTTCCAACTTCACTTATATCCCCCCAGTTTTCAGCCTCCCGATTCTTGGCCCTCCCCCAACATGCTTTCCTAGGCATTTATCTTCCAATTTCAACTCACATGTGAACGCGGAGCGTCACTCCTCTGCTGTCGACAAGTCCATGTCCAACCAAACGGTCCATTCCAGTTCATCGGCTTCCATTTGGAGCCCTCGATCCTCCTTCAGATTGGCATGCCTCAGTGTGCGCACACTACTACAGATCGGTCAACAGGCAGCACTTGCCCGAACATTGGAGACCCTCTCGATCGATATCTGCTGCTTATCAGAGACCCGCCTGCAAGACTCGAGCTCTGTGCTCACTCTGCGATCCCCTTCAGGTGACGCAAGCAGTATTTTTTCAGTGCGCCTATCAGGTGACGATGCAGGTTCGAGCATCGGCCAAGCTGGTGTTGGCATTGCCCTGAGTCCCCGGGCTGAAGCTGCTCTGGTTGATCGGATTCCAATCAGTAGTCGGATGTGTGCGGTCCGATTGGCTGGCTCGTTTAAAGCTTCGAAGTCGCGCGGGACTAATAGGTGTCTATTCATCATCGCTGCCTACGCGCCCACAAACTGTAGCGATGATTCGGTAAGGAACGACTTCTATCGCCAACGGACCCAGCTCCTTCGCCACAGAAGAAGCACGGACACTGTTGTGCTGGCGGGGGATATGAACGCACAAGTTGGAAAGTTGTCCACTGATGACATGCATTTGGGCGGTCAGCACGGTTTAGGCTCCCGTAATGATAACGGTGAGCGGTTACTTCATTTGTGTGAAGATGCTCGCTTATTTCTTGCGATCACTAATTTCCAACACAGCACCCGCCGGCGGGTGACTTGGCGCCCGCCAGCCTCGCATCAGCCTTGAACGCAGATCGATCACATTGCTATTAGTTACCGCTAGAGAGGCTGCATCCAGAATTGTCGCTCGATTTGGAACACATGTGTGGACACCGATCATGCACTTGTATGTGCTGACATGCGGTTGCCTTTTGGCGGACGCCCACGACGACGCTGTGAGCGCATTGACACCAGCCAACTGACAAAGCCAGCTGTTCTGAATGCGCATCGAGGTATGCTGTCATGCGAGTTGAGTAATCGCTCACTGGAGACAATTGATGATCACTGGTCACATGTTCGCCAGACCTTACTAGTGGCAGGCAAATCCTCATGTGGTATGTCTAAAAGCCAACATGGATATTGGGTCTCTTCTCGGTCTCTCGAACTTATCGACGCTCGCAGGCATATCCCGGCTGGAAGCGAGTACAATGAAACTCGCAAAGAGCTCCGGGCAAAACTCCGTGCTAGCCTGAAGAGAGACCGCGAATCTTAGTGGTCTCATCGTGCGTCAGAGATGGAAGTGGCCGCTGCCGTTGGCAATCATCGTAAGTTATTTCGTCTGATACGGGAAACGGGCAGCAGGAGGCCTGGTGTTAGTGAAACTATACTTGACGAGAGTGGACAGCCTATCCACAATTTGTCAAAACGTTTGGAGCGTTGGGCTGCGCATTTTGAAAAGCAATTTAATCGACTAGAATTGTTCGATTCTTCGCCGGCCAGTGATCGCCCTGCTCCGTGGGCTGTCCCATCTCGCTCAGAAGTCGAACGTGAGATCAGACTGTGGAAGTTGAACAAAGCCGCGAGACCAGATGATCTTCCTCAAGCCCTCTTCAAATTCGGAGGCTCTACTTTTTTTGATGCTTTGCATGAAGTACTAGTGAAACTGTGGGAGCAGCAGACTGTCCCAACCGACTGGAGTCGCTCCGTTCTTGTTCCCATCTTCAAAGGCGGCTCGCGCTCGGAATGCGGCAGCCATAGAGGAACCAGTCTGATCTTCATCGCCTCCAAATTACTAGCCTCCATAATTCTTCGCAGACTGACTGGCGCTCGTGAAAGCCAGATTCGTGAGGAGCAAGCCAGGTTTCGTCGGGGCCGTAGCTGCATCGACCACAACTTCACCTTGCATCAGTTGTTGAAGCATCGTCACACATATTGGCGGCCCACCGTAGTCGTGTTCCTCGACATCAAAGGTGCCTTCGATTCGGTTGATCGATGTGCCCTTTGGCATTGTCTACTCAGGAAAGGTGTGCCCGAGAAATATGTAAATATTATCCGAGCATTGTACGCGCGTAGCACGGGCAGAGTGAGAGCTTACGGCAAGTTGTCTTCGCCCTTTAATATCTCCAGCGGTGTGAGACAAGGATGCCCGTTGTCACCTTTCCTCTTCAACTTCGCTATTGACGAAGTCATGGAGATTGCATTTACAGGACATGACTTGGAAAGTGTGGAGCTACTCCCAGGAGAACGACTTATTGACTTGGAGTATGCAGAGGACATTGCCGTCATCTGTGACAGCTCCCAGACGTGCCAAGCCGCGCTGGACAGATTTGCACTGGCTCTCAGCCACTTCAGGCTTTGCTTTGCACCATCGAAGTGCAGTGTTCCTCCAAGATTGGCAGGGATCGCCTCCTGCGTTGACCCTTGGTGGGGATCAGCTAGAAGTCGTTCGGAAATCCAACTACCTGGGAAGTTGTATCAGCGCCCTTGGGATCGAAGACGAGATCACGAACCGTATAAGCAAAATCTCGAAGTGCTTTTGCTAACCTTCGCCACCTATGGCGGCGGCGCGAGGTTACTCTCGCCCTGAAGGGTAGAGTGTACAATGCAGCGGTACGTTCGACCTTACTGTACGGTTGCGAAACCTGGCCCCTTAGGTCGGCGGACATGAAGAGGCTAGTTACGTTCGACCATCGGTGCCTTCGCAGTTTGGCTCACATCTGGTGGGAACACCGCGTGAGTAACGAGCATGTTCGACGCCTTGTTTACGGCACAGGCAAAGGATCTGAACCGCTCAGCACCGTTATTTCCCGCACCAGGCTCCGATGGCTCGGCCACGTGTTACGCATGCCAGACCACCGACTCCCTCGACGTGCGTTGTTTGCTCACCGGGGATGTGGGTGGAAGAAGAGGAGAGGTGGCCAAGCGATGAATTGGTCCAGAGGAATGAAGTCCCTCACTTCGGAGTTAGCCTCGGTTGGAGCTTCACGGCTCCCTGGTTGGGGTCCAAAAGACGGTGAACACTTTTGGCTGGATACACTTGCTGACATGGCAAGGAGCCGACCTCATTGGCGTTTCTGCTGTGAGTTTCTTTGTCCCTCCCTATCCCTTTTAGTCTCCCCGTCCATCTACCGTCTCATTTCCTAGCGTAAAACATAAATAAATAAAAAAATTTCTTTTTGCCTAGTAGCTGGCTGGAAGCCTACCGGAACGATGCCTATATCCGTTGCTGGTAGCTCAGCTGGCATGCAACTGTTATATCTATTTTCCTTTGTGTATTGTATTATATATATGTACGTATGTATTTCTTTCATGTATTGCGGCACAATAGCGGTGTTTTCCCACCTCTAGCTGATGTGTATAATGATATAATGATGATGCGCTTAGTTGACCAAGTGCTATTGAGGATGGACACGAGAATCTTCGTTTAAGTCGCCTATGGATTTTATGCTATTAATCATTGATGAGAAGAGCCAAAGCATGGCTGGAAATTGATCTGCGATAATTAATCGGGGCCAGAACCTTTGTGGAGCTATAGGAAACACTAACTGCGGACTGTATACATCAAATTACAACTAGTGTATTTGGAAGCGAATGCAGTGGCGCTGGTGACTGTCAGGACTGTTGTTTGTGTTTCTCAATCCAATGGGTTACAATCCTACTGCTTATTTTTGCTATTAGTCACATCAGAGAAAATATTATAACACCTAAAAGAGGTAACTGCCTGTTCCATCTCGATAACACAATTTACGCATCTGACCTTTCGATCCAAGAAACAACGTAAACGGTACGCTTGAAGCGAACAATTGTTTTCCATTTATTCATCATCATGTACATTGGAATAAGTAAAGGTGCAGAGATAGACTACTGGCTGAAAAAAATTAAATGGTTATCATAAGGCGTCAGGTGACCAAGTGATTGAAGTCACGTGGCCCCGTTGAGCAAGGCCCCGATTCCTCTCGTCTGGTTGCTGGTCAAGATAGTTGTACTGCATAGAGGAGCTTCTGAACACAGACTCAGTTTTGTCAATATTGTCATTTCAGCAGTAGCAAGTAGCTGTGCTCTTGACCAGTATTTATTTTCGG